TGTGTTTTGTAATTATTTGTTACATAAAATTTCTTGTTCCATAATATGTTAAAAAACAAATGCTAAAATTCCTTTACAATACAACAAACAAGTACCTAAATGTAAAGAAATAAAAATTCGAATTAAAAAATTAAAACGAAAGATTTTTCCCCTGAAAGTTTGGGCCAAAAATGTGGGTGTGCATTATACACGGGAGCACATTATACACAGCACAATCGGGCACTAGAGATAAAAAGGAATATTTCACAATAGAAAAAAAAATTTCAATTCATAGGAAGATAGACCAATTATAAAGATCTATGTTTCTAATAACATGATCTCAAAATTAATTAATTAACAGAACAAGGGAGAAACAGAATACACAATTACACAGGGATATTTAACATACAGTAAATTGTCAGTAATTGTCAATCAAGCACATGGACACAAATCAGTAAGAGAAGATTTTAACAAAAAGATTTGAAAATGTCATTTGATGGACATATGTAAAGCACTGTACCCATCAACAACAGAATTCACATCACATACACATGCTCATACACAGCATTAAAAAAATAATAACCATATACAAAACAAGCACTTACTCATTTTAATAATTATTCAACTCAGAATATTTTAATGGTAATTACGTGGGTGTTAACTTTTTTATTCATTCATTAAACTGTCCATATATATGTTATATACTTCTCTTTACATGTATTCAATTTTACAATAAATTTTTTAAAAAGTGAACTGACCTATGTTAGCTATATATTCATTTATTTTTTGTTTTTCAAAACTTGTTCCACAAAACTCTCAAGATAAAGCTATGAAGATGGGACACTGATATGCTCCAACAGAAAATAAAACAAGATTCAGGATTAAAGGTTCCAGTGAATTTATCCCTGCTGTACTCTAGTAGCTTCCAAAACTTATAACTCTAGGGATACTAAAGGCAATTCTCACAACACTATTTATGACGTCAGACAATTAAGTTCGCGAACTCATCCTAGAAAAATTGCTACATACTTCATTGCTGAATATCACTACAGTCACCTTTGAAGTACTCCCCTTGGGAAGCTATGCACCAACACCAGGGCCTAGTCCACCCTTCAAAGCAGTTTCGGAACTCTTTTTCTGGAATGGCCATCAGAGCTGTCGTCACATTACCCCTGATGTCCTGAATATCAACAAAGTGTCTTCCTTTCAATATTTCCTTTATCTTCGGGTAAAGAAAGACGTCATTGGGGGTCAGATCAGGTGAGTACGGACGGTGTTCCAATACAGTTGTTTACTGGCTAAAAACTCCCTCACAGAAAATGCCTTGTGAGCTGGTGCACTGTTGTGATGCAAGAGCCATAAATTGTTCGTGAAAAGTTCAGGTCATCTAACTTTTTTACGCAGCCTTTTCAGCACTTCCAAATAGTAAACTTGGTTAACCGTTTGTCTAGTTGGATACAAATTCATAATGAATAATCCCTCTGAGATCAAAAAAAGGTTAGCAACATTGTTGTTACAAGTTCTGGAACATAATTGCCAGACCTCATATGTAATCAAATCACTCTAATACAGAACTGCAGATAAAACAAAAGTAGATTACCTGGTTACATACAACCCAAATAGTATAAAATCTAAGTTAAAAACACCTTCAGTACAGACGGTATCTAAATCAGAGGAGCTAATGCCAACTGCAAAAGAGTTCTAGGTAAATTTGTCTGATGGGTCATCCACTTTAATGAAACTCCAAACCAAACCAACCTTTGAAGTAGTCATCTCTTTATGTTGCCAGTTTTACGATAAAACAAATAACTAGCAATTAAGTTACTAAAAAAATATATAGAATTTATAGTTAATGGTGAACATTTTACTTTTCCAAAAGTAAAAATAACATATCCTCAAATATATTTAAGATGATAAAAAAAAGACTGCAACTATGGTCCCCAAAACTTCAGGATGAATTTTTAAAATTTTTCTAAAATTAGTAAGAGCAGTTTATTAGTTACTTATTGCTGCCTGACAAATTACCCAAAAACTCAGCCTTTTAGAACACACATTTGTTATCTCACAGTTCCTGAGTAATTGGGTGTTGCTTAACTAGTTCCTCCAAGCCATGATCTATAAGGTGTCAGTCAGCCAGGGCTACAGACATCTCAAGGTTTAACTGGGACAAGATCTTCCAACTTCACTCAGTGGTTGTTGGGAGGATTCAGTTTCTAGGGGGTTATTGATCTGAGAACCTCAGTTCTTCATAGGCTTCTCAATTCTTTGACAGGTGGATTTTTATACAGGTCAGCCAGAACATGGCAGCTGGCTTCATAAGAGTGGGCAGCAAGAGAGCGCCAGCAAAAAGGAAGTTATAGTCTCTTGTAACCTAATCTTGTAAGTGACATCTGACAACTTTTGATATATTCTATTAGAAGTGAGCCTCTAGATCCAGTCTACCCTCAAGGGAAAGGACTACACAAGAGAGTGAATACCAGGATTATTTTAGAAGGCTGCCTATTACAAGTAGCATAATGCAAAAAGAAACTGGAATAAAAGTTAGGGGAATTGGATTCTAGTAACTATGTGAATAAATACAATCTCTCAAGGTCTCAGTGTTTTCACAGGAAAAAACAAAGAAACAAAACAAAACAAAACAGAGAGGTTAGCCTCAATGACCTCTAGGGTCATTTAACTTTTAAATTCTAAATCGGTGCTTCTTTGCTGTGTCTTTTGGAAAGGATTACCAAGGATGAGAGATACTTGGTCAAATTGCCTCATTTTACAAGAGCCTGGTTCCAGGAAATGTTAACAAAGACAGGTAATAAGTCACACTTATTTTGTTATTATACCCAGTGCTTTTGCAATTAATGCCCTAAAACAGCACTATCCGTTCTTTAAGTCTCAAAATCTATTAAATTCAAATGAAAGAGAGAAAAATATAGTACTAATAAGAACTGATTGTTATACGCTATCTCTTTTTCTCTTATCTACCCTAAAGCTATCTCTGTAGGTGGCATTTGAGATGAAAGTGAGCTATCTTCAACCCATCCCCAGTCCCAGGTATCTGGACATTTTAGTAATGAGATTATTTGCTGGAAGTAAATTATACAAGCAACAGACAACAGATCATAGCAGAGAAATAGAATTGGCTTCAACAAAGGAAATATGATTAAATGTAACCTCAATGGAGTATCTAAAAATAGAAACTGCAACCAGAAAAGACAAGGTTTGTCCCCAATGGAATCCTGGAAAATGGAGCCCCAGAGGTTAATAATGGCAATATGATGCAGGCAATGTCCAGGGAGGCAGGTCTCTGGGAAGCTGATGACAACTGGACTGACAGATACATCCTTATACAGAATCATCAGTCAGGGTCTAATACCATTAAACATAAATACCCTATTTGCTCCTCTATGAGGTCAGGAACCAGGGGGTTGGGGGACTCACTTGTCAGAGAAACTCCTCCACAGCTTTACCAGCCATAATAATTTGTAATAACTCCGGTCCAAGAAGTGCAGTGAAAACACTGCATATAACTACAATTGCTCTGTGTGGTAATTATAAAGCAGGAATGTATTTATACTAGTCAAATTATGTGTGTATATATACATTACAGTAAAACCTTGGATTGCGAGTAACTTGGTTTGCGAGTGTTCTGCAAGACGAGCAGACATTTCTAGTACACTTTAACGTGGTAAACGAGCGATGTCTTGCAATATGTTTCTGGAACGAATTATGCTCGCAAACCAAGGTATTACTGTATTTAAATGCATAACTAGATAAAGAAGTTCTATAGAAGAAAGGCTGAAGGATAGAACTTGGTCCTAGGGGAAGCTTAAGGCCTAGTGGTTTATCTTAAACGTTTGCATAACGATCAAGTATGATAGAAAAAACTCAATTATCAAAGAAAAGGTCACACTGATGGAGATGACCCACAAGCCTCTCATTACTATTAGCATATATCTAAATTCACTAAACCACCTAAAAAACAGTGCTAGCTAAAAATGTTAACGTAGGCTAAAATAGCATTCAAAGAAAGTATTGATACTTTCAAAAGTTTTTTGATACTTTTGGTCCTGGGTGAAAGGCAGAGTCCAAAGTAAGAGAAGATGAATTAGATATCCCCATGGGACATTTAAAGAAGAGAGGAAACTCCATCCTGGCCAGGGGTGCCACAGCTGAGTTTCATGGCCCAAGCCATTGGCTGTTGCTTCCCATATCATAAGTGTACTCAATCAGATAGACATAAATTTCAATCAAGCCATCCCAAGATGGAACAGATCAAAACATAATATCCAGCTTAAAGTATTGCCAACAGTATTTTGTGTTTTTATACTTTTTTACTCAGTTTCTAGAGCGATCTGGACATTCCTTCCTTCCCTAGCCTTTTATACAGTGTTCAAGAAGGGTTGTATCTCCTTTCTTTTCTCACTTCTTAATTCTCTCTTTTGTTCCTCAGCTTTAAAGGGATGAGAGAAAGTAGGAACAATAACAGTTTAGAGAAGTCTCAAATGGGTCTTTGAGGTAAAACTGGTAAAAAGCGGCCAGCTGAGTGGCTCAGTGGGTTAAGAGCACGAGCTCTGAGCAACAGGGTCGCCGATTCGATTCCCACATGGTCAAGTGAGCTGCACCCAAGCTGAGCTGCTGCTGAGCTGCCAACAGGTGGCAGAATGGCTCAGCTGGTGAGAGCACGTGCTCCTAACAAGATTGCTGGTTCAACTTCAGCATGGGATAGTGGGCTACGCCCACCCACAACTAAAATTGAACACAGCACCTTGAGCTGAGCAGCTGAGAGCTGCTGAACAGCGGCCAGATGGTGACTGGACTTGGAGCTGAGTTAGCTGCGCCCTCCACAACTAAGATTGAAGAACAACTTGGCTGTTCTCCTTCCCCAATAAAACAAAAAACAAACAAACAAAAAAAACCTGGTAAAAAGCAAATAAAGCATGTTTAGGAATTTGAAATTTAACCCCAAAACACTACAGCATACATTACTTAATATTATTATGTATTTGTATTTTTCCAATATAGCCCACCTCAGTTAATGATTTCACCACCAATGGAAAGATTGAACAGTCATTTTTGAAGTCATTTTTCCACATAGCAGGGGTTAGCAAACTGTAAAACAAGAAAGAAGGGAAGGAGGGAAGGAGGGAGAGCAAGAAGGAAGGCAGGAAGGCAAACAAGCAGGCCAGCAAAAAACGAAGGGAGGGAGGGAGGGAGGAAGGAAAGATGGAAAGAAAGGTGGTGGGGGGGGAAGAAATAGAGAAGGAGAAAGCAAGCAAGCAAGAAACAAAAAGAGAGAGAGAAGGAAAAAGAAAGAAAGGAAGGAGAAAGGGAATGAAAGGAAGGAATTACAGCAGAGACTCTATATGGCCTGGAAATCCTAAAATCCAGGCAGTCCTAGCTTCACACTGAAGCTTTAACTGAAACCCACCCTACAAAAGCAAGGACTGCTGCCTATATTTCTATATTTACTATCTGGCCCTTTACGAAAAATTTGATGACCCCTGCAATAGAGGATATCCAAATGGTCAATAAATACATTAAGGGGTGTTAAATATTATTAGTCATTAGGGAAACCTGGGAAAAACCCCAATGTGATATCACTATATACCCACCAGAATGGCTAAAATAAACAAAGATAATATACTAAGTGCTGCGAGCATTTGGAGAAGCCAGAATTTCAAACACTGCTAAAAGGAGTGTTAATTGACAAAACTAATTTGAAAACCTTTTGGTAGTTATTCCAGGAATACATATCTGCATATCCCGTAATATAGCCATTTTATCAGTAGGTATATATATCCAACAGAAATGTATATATATGTTTATCAAAGTAATTATAAAAATGTTCATAGAAGCCCTATTGTTAATAGCCAAAAACTCGATGGACAGTTTTTGGCTATTAAGAACAAACTGCTACATAACTTGTATAAACCTCACAAACACAATACTAAGCAAAAGTGAGACACAAGACTATAGGCTTTATGATTCCATTTAGGCAAAGTCAATAGGTAAATGACATTAAAAATCAAGATAATGGTTACCTTTGGAAAGGGGGCACAAAGCGCGGCTTCTAGGATGCAAGTAATGCTCTTTCTTGTTAGGTACTAGATATACTTTGTGAAAATTCAATGAGCTGTACACTTATCATTCAGGCACTTTTCTGTAGGTCTATTACCCTTTAACAATTAACACACTAAAAAGATTTCTATAGACTGTTCCTTGGAGAGAAAATTGTATGCATCTCCATTCACTTTTCTGATTTGTTATCATTACCTCTCCCCAATGGGGTATCTTAATTCCTGTTACCTAATATAGAAGTCAGCTTTTAATTTTCTTGATATACTACTGCATAGGATACCCAAATGCATATGTAACTGTCATTTTAAGTTGGTTCCACACTAGATCCCTAGGAAAAACTTTGAAAAGTCCACAACTTGTGACACCTGAAACTAATTATAATAAAAAAAAATCTGAGGAAGGAAAAAAAAACCTCCTTGAAATGTAGTTTTCTTCGGCCCTTTGTTTTGGCTTACCTTTGTTTATCACCACTGTGATTTAATCTGCATAAAATGTTCAAAGGAGCTTTTCAAAAAGCCTGTTCTTGTGGAAAGTTTTTCTTTCTGCCATCCCATCTACTAGTGCTATCTTGTGTTTATCCAGTTCCTTCCACCCATGGAACTCAAAGTACTTTACAAATATTGTTGGGTGGTGTCACCTTCCAATTAGAGAAATTTGGGCCCAGAGACATTGAGAACCAAACATATTCTAACAGCATCTTTCTACAGCCCGGTGCCTAAAGAAGTATCGTATTCTTTGCAGAAACTTACAAGTGTGAGTCCTGAAATACAAAACGATTAGGTGACTCTCAAGGGCACAGTCAATCATAGGTTGAACCAGGACCCTCTAACTCACCGCCACTTAAGGAGAAAACAAACAAACAAAAACCTACACCTTGAATAAACGCTCAGCTGCTGACCTTGTAATAGGAAGCGGGGGGGAGATGCCGAAATCATGCCCAGAAAGAGGACCTGCGGGCTCCACGGCGCTGACCTTCCCGGGAGCCTCATCACTCCCCGCCTCAGGGGCCAACATTCCGCGGGTGCCGATTCCGCGCAGCCCCTTCACCTTCTCCAAGGGGGGGCTGCAGCCGGAATTTCCAGGGCTGCTCTAAGCCCACCTCCCCTTACTCGGGTAGCCCAAACCGCCCAGCTACCCGTTTACCTGAGAGGCGCCCTGCACCGCCCCGGAGTCTACTCTGCCCGCTCGCCCAGTTTCTCAGGCCCAACACGCAGCCACCGCGTCCGCCAATCTCCGCCAGCGCGGACCGTCCCGGGGCTCCCCCGCGCGAGGAGGTGCGCGCGCCCGCAAACAAGCGGGAGGGGCGTGGCGGCGGGGGGAGCCAGCCGCGCGCCGCGCGTGAGGGCCCACGGGGAACGGAGGCGGGGCGGGCGCCGGAGGCAGGCGGCGCGCACCGGGCATGCGCGTGTCCCGCCGCCAGGGCCGCGGGGCGGGGTCTCTGGGCGCAGAACGAGTTTAGAAAGTCTTCCCAAGAGTTTGGTCTTGGGTTCCGCGGCAGCCCCAGCAGTGCTACGATCGTGGGGCGCCATCTGCGAGAGCAAAATATTGTGTGGGCCCTCGTATGGTTGGTGGAGGAAAACCGCGTGGGTAAAAACGCGTCTTGTGGCCTCAACTTGAGCGCTGCCGCGTCTCCACGGGACTTGGCGGAATTGTGGCTTCCTGTTTTGTGTGTGGTTTGAGGTGAGAGGGAGAGAATGGGATGCCAGGGAAAGATGAGAGGGAAGTATTGCCAAGTGATGACTGAATGAAAAGGGCCGAAGTTGAACTCCAGATGGGTGAGCAAAAAGCAGTTGTTAGCTCCTGGCCAAGGAATGTTTCAGAACAAAAGCTGGAGGAGGTAACCCTTTTACTAGAAAGAGATCTGGATGCTTACGTTCAATATGTGGATTCTTGAAGACAAAATGTTGAACCTTCCAGAATTAAACAAAAAATTAAGTCCTCAATTTGTGTACCTCCGTGTTGAAATAAGAAGGGACTGCCATAATTAATTAGCTGCTAGTAATCAAATGTGGTTTTCTTGTTCCACAGATCAGTACTGCCTTCACGAATGTCATGTTAACTCGTTCAGACACCAAATATTTCATTTTATTCATTCAGACACCAAATGTTTATTGAACACATACTATGTGCTAGGTACTCTTCTGGGTGTTGGGTAATAAGCAGTAATGATTTCTACATATCCCTGAATAATAGGCATAATATGAACTGTTGGCAGTTTCCCAAGTTAGTCGTTAAAGTTAGTGAAAGGAACTTGCACTTTACTAAGTGTGAAAAAGAGGAGTGGTCAAGACATGAAAAAATTGGATGTAACTTAGTTGGAACAAAATAGGTTATAAAATTCACAAACTCTTATTATATCTTAATGAATGGACATTGCTTTGAAGAGGTTTGTTATAGAATAAGCTTTGAAATGCATTTTTTTTCTTTAATGCAGCCAAGGTCTGAAACATATTTATGGACACAAAGTACCATTAAAATATATGAGAAAATAGAGGAGTGGTACAGTTTGTCAGAGTAGATGGAAAGGGAACTCCAATCAGGAAGAATAACTAACTTATGAAAAAGTTTAGGACCAACTCAAATTATGCGTAAAAGAAAGAAGGGAAAGTTGCTTTTCTTAGCCAAGGAATAACAAGAAATAAAAAGGAATAGTGACTACAACATTGAGAAAATTCAAAACAAATAATGAATTTAGAGATTTAATTTAGAGAAAGTAGTTACACTATTTTTCTTTAGGTAAAGGTACATAACCCTAGTTTTTTAAAGCTCATTACCTGGATGGTGAAAGTCTCCAGGGTAAACAAAAAAAACCCATGTTTTCATTCCTTTCCTGTTTTTTCCTTCTGCCTTTTTTATTCAGTGAGTCAGTCAAACATTAAACCCTTTCTCCCTAGTCCTCCAACTTACCTGAGGTAACTTTTTTTTTTGTAGTCTATTTTATTATTAGGTATTATTTTTTCAGTGACAGTTGACTTTCAATATTATATTAGTTTCAGGTGTACAGCATGGTGATTAGACATTTATATAATTAACAAAGTGATCCCCTGATAAGTCTAGTACCCACCTGGTACCATACATAATTATCACAATATTATCGACTATATTCCCTATGCTGTATTTATATCCCCTGACTGCCAATTTGTGCTTCTTAATCCCTTCACCTTTTTCACCCAGCCTCCTAACCCATCTCCCATCTGGCAACTATCATTGTGTTCTCTGTATCTATGAGTCTGTTTCTGTTTTGTTTGTTCATTTACTTTGTTCTTTAGATTTCACATATAAGTGAAATCACGTGGTATTTGTCTTCTGAGATAACTCGAATGCTCTTTTCCTGAACTTTTCAGACCACAACAGCTAATTTTTTCCTAATCTCCTTCCACCACCACCTTCACTCACATTCACATTTCATTCTCCATGCTGCTAACAGTTGCCAGTCTACAAGAAATAAAAGAGACCAATTAGAACTTTCTTTCCTGTTCTCAAGGATGTTGAGGTGGTGTTGTCTTAAGGATGTTGATGTTATCCAGATATTGTCTATGCCCTCATCCCTTGTGTAAATTGGGCTTTTGCAGAAATATGGATAAG